ATAGAAGCTGGATTTTCTGGAGCTGTCAAAATAGATCAACAGCTGGAAAATAAAGGTGTAATATTTTAAAGGCTGGGCCACAAACATGGGGATTTTGATGTCTCTGTAGTGGTTTTTTTTCCAAAGAGATGAGTGAACCTGTGGTTTTATTTTTTAATGTTTTTAGCTTAGGGGACAATCCTTGTTTGCATTAAAACTCTTGATTTGTGCATAAATTGGAGATAAAATGTCAGATTGTTCCTGTATCTAAATAATTTTATTCTGACACCACCTCACCATGAGGTGAGTTCTGGGTGTTTGACAAGAAGAATTAACATCCAGGTCTTTATTTGTAACAAACCTTGGGGATTTGGTAAAGCAGCAGCTTTACATTTATTGGGAAATTAAAGATTTGGGTAATAAAATCAGAAAATATTTTCCTGCAGTCTTATTTTCCTCATGTGTTTTATATTTCCCATAAATCCAGAGGGTTTTTCCTTCCTACTGCATTATGGTGCAGTAAAAAAATAACTTCTCACAGCTTCTGCTTTATGCTTTACCTCTGCAGCTTTAATTTCATAAAGTGCTGATATTTGTGGAATCTTTTTTTCCTCCTGAAACTTGAATAATTATGTGCTAAAACCATCTAAACACATTTTTATATTAAAAAATTCCCAGATGTAAACTTAGACTCCTGTTGCAAATGAGCAATAATTGCAGGGCTGAAATATTTCTGCTGTTTTCTCTTCAGAAAACCTTGCAAAGGTTCTTTCAGCTCTAGAGAGAGCAGAGGAATACATGGCCCTCACTGACAACTTCAGTGGAAAGGTGGGTCTGGCTGGGCTGGCAGGGATTTGGAATTGCAGGGTTGAACTGGCATGGCAAGCAGGAATTCTCAGGAATTCCCAATTCCTGCTCTTCCCAGCTCTGGGTTTTGTTCCTGGCTCTCAGGTGCTGATGAGGAATAAAAATTGCTTCTTTCCACAGGCTGGGCAGCAATTAAACAATGCACAGGTAGATTGTGGGAATCCTGGGAGATTTGCACTTGGGATTTAATAGGTTCTGTGATAAATCCTGCACTGAAACTCTGCATTTATGGGATAGTCCTGAGGGCTGGGAGGAGTTCACTTCTTTCTCCAGAAGGAATTGGAGCCAAGCCAGTGGGTCAGGCACAATGTTCCCTGCTGGAATTATCTATTGATACCTAAACCTTTCCACAGACAAATGGTATTTTTTGTTTTCTTTCAGGGTTATGTTATCCAGAAAAAGGAGAAAAAGCCAAGTCTGGAACCAGATAAACCAGCAGAAGATATCTACACGTAAATATTTGAAGTATTTCTACTAGTGTGCATAACAGAAATTGGTTTTCAGGTGATAATATCAAATGTGTGTTTTACAGATATGAGGAATTTCATCCTTTCTTGTTTTCTCAACATTCAAAATGTCCCTACTTGGAATTTGACTCATTCAATAAGGTACAGTGCTTTTGCTGATGCTGTACTTGAGTGCTTGAATTGACTGCTGCTGAAAGGAGTAATTAAAACATCATGCAGGGGTTGTGAATGAAAGCAGAGACCTTGGAAGGGATGGATCATTTTATGGAGGAATGTTTGGTGAGAAAAAGGCACCCCAGCAGGGCTGGGGCTGCAGCTGGGCAGTGCTGGCTCCTGAGCTCAGCCCTGCAGCCAGGGAGGTGAAGCTGCAGCAGAAAATGCCAAATGTTTGTTGTGCAGAGTGGAGTCTGGGTTTGTCCTGGGTAACAGCTGTGGCAGGCACCACATCTGCACTCCTGCTCCTGCTCTGAAAGCCTCAGAGCTCGTGGTTGGGGTTTGCTGGGCATTGTCCTTTCTGCTCCTCCACTCATTAACATCTGGGGTCATTAATTGGCCTCTTGTTCTTGATCTTGAGCTCCAGATTTCCCACTCCACGCTCCTGCCCTGTTCCTGCCTCAGTTTCTGTCATTTCCTTCAGTGATCACAGAGCCCCAGAGTGGTTTGGGCTGGAAGGGACTCAGAGCCCACCAGTGCCACCCCAGGCATGGCAGGGACACCTCCACTGTCCCAGGTGCTCCCAGCCCTGTGTCCAGCCTGGGCTCCAGGGGCAGCCACAGCTGCTCTGGCAATGCCCAGTTCCCAATGTCCCCCCCATCCATCCCTGCTCCTGTCCCTCTGTCCTTGTCCTTGTCCCTCTGATGATCCCCAAACCTTCCTCACCTTGTGCTTTGGACCACCAGGAGCAGTTTTTGGGCACTCTGGGGTTTTGTGTTTGTTTAGCTGACCCAGTGAGGCAGCAGGGATTCAGGGCAGACACATCTGGCTGTGCAGCCATTTAATCTGAACTGAATCAGCTTCTTTTCCATCATTTCTTAGCAAAGCAGCTGAGCCATTGCTTGGGCACTTTTTGCTTCTGTGTCCTGCTGGACTGCTCCCATGGGAAGGGAAATGGGGAAAGCTCCTGGAGGTTGTCTCAGGCTCTGTCAGCTCTTTTAGTGCTTTGCAGCCCCTTCTGTGCAGGGCCCCTCCTGTCCTGCCCTCAGTCAGGGCATTCTCCAACCTCAGTCTCTCTCCTGCAGGCCACAGATGAGTTCTACTCCAAGCTGGAGGGGCAGAAGATTGACCTGAAGGCCTTGCAGCAGGTGAGTCCTGACCCATGGTGATGCTCCCACATCTCCAGAGGCTTCTTCAGTGATTGCCTGGAGCCTTTTGGTAATGGCATCAGATAATCACTGCAAGGTTACATATAAATATAAATATAATATAACTATAATATAACTATAACTATAACTATAACTATAACTATAACTACAACAATAACAATAATTATAAATAAATATAAATATAAATATAAATATAAATATAAATATAAATATAAATATAAATATAAATATATATGAATATAAATATAACTATAACTATAAATTTAAATATAAATATAAATATAAATATAAATATAAATATAATATAACTATAAATATAAATGTAAATGTAAATATAAATACATTTTTAATATTAAATGTTTTTATTTCTATTTTTGCCATTTTGTGCTTCAAAGGAAAAACAAGCATTGAAGAAACTTGAAAATGTCCGTAGGGACCACGAGCACAGGCTGGAAGCTCTCCAGCAGGCTCAGGTAAGGCAGATTTTGGGTTTTCATTAAAAAGTGCATGATCACACCACCATGGGATGGTTTGGCTGGGAGGGAGCTTCAATCCCACACAGCTCCAGGGGCAGGGACACTTCCACTGGGGCTGGATCTTCTCCGATGCCACCACTCCAATCCATCCCTGCATTTCTCCACCACTGCTTCCATTTCCTAACTCCTGCTGCTGAGCTGTGCTCGGCTGCCCTGCTGCAAGCTGCTCCTGTCCCAAGGAAGCCGATCAGCTGAAGGGGGAGCTGATTGAGGTGAACCTGGAGGTGGTGGACAGGGCCATCCAGGTGGTGCGCAGCGCCCTGGCCAACCAGATCGACTGGAGCGAGATCGGCGCCATCGTCAAGGAGGCCCAGGCCCAGGGCGACCCCGTGGCCTCGGCAATCAAAGAGTTAAAGCTGCAGACAAACCACATCACCATGCTGCTGAGGTGAGTGCCCTGCAGCAGGGGCTCAGAGATAACCCAGAATAGCTTTTTTATACCCAGAAGTTGTGGTGTAAAAGCTGGGACGTGGCAGAGTTAATCTGTGAATTTTTGGTTACCTCGCTTTCAGAAGTGACAGTCTATTCTATAAACTTGTTTTCAGTCAGTTCCTTGGATTGGAAAAATTGGGCTCTTTATTTTCTGCTTTTGTTTTCTTTTTCCCCCCAAATTTGGCTGACTCCAGGACAAAAAAGGGGTGGCACACTAAGCTTCCTGTGTCTCTAATTGTGAATGGTTGAGAGGCTCCTTGGGCCATTTCTGAACTGCTGAGAGAATGAAATTAAGAGCACATTGCACCAGGGATTGAAAATTAACCAGCTATCTTATCTCAATCTTCTGATCTCATGTGTTTTTAGGAACCCCTATGTGTTATCTGAAGAGGAAGAGGAGGAGGATGATGCTGACATAGAGAAGGAAGAAACAGAAGAACCAAAAGGAAAAAAGAAAAAAAATAAAACCAAACAGTTGAAGAAACCTCAGAAAAACAAACCCTTATTGATTGATGTTGATCTCAATTTGTCTGCCTATGCCAATGCCAAAAAGTAAGAATTTTCAGGAAATATTTAGTGTGGTTTTGTAGGATCAGTTTCTCTGGGTGTGGAGGAGGAAAGGTTTTGGGATATCTTGTTAAAAAAAAAAGAGTTAAAAATTGAAACAGCAGCCTGTCCTGAACTCTGGGGTGGGAATTCCCTGGTGCAGAGCAGCTGCTCTGTGGCTCACACTGAATTTTCCAGCTCTGCCCATGGAACAAAAGGCAGAGGGCTGGGATGAGGGGGATGAAGGGGATGGGATGAAGGAGTGGCTCTGCTGGGATTTCAGGACACACATTTGTGGTTCACAGGTACTATGATCACAAAAGACATGCGGCCAAGAAAACTCAGAAGACAGTGGAAGCTGCAGAAAAGGTATTTTGTTTTCCTCTTGGATTTTAGAAGATATTTAAAAGGAAAATCCCTCCCACTGCTCAGGGGGAAATCCTGAGCTGATCTGAGCAAAACATGAAAGGGAAAACCATCACCCAGAGGTGTTTTATTGTTGACATTTGGAGCTCATGGAGGATTGCAGATCCCTGATGGATCCTCCTTTTTCAGGAGCACTGGGAATGCTCAGAGCAGGTGGAGGCACTGGCAGACCAGGACTTAGAGGGGAAAATCAGTGGAATCCTTCCCATCCAAGAGCTGATCATCTCAGGGAGCAGCTCTGCAGGGTGCAGGTTTAAGAGCCTGCACTGGGATCAAGTCCAGGCCATTTCCTCCCAACTTTCACTGTGGAATTCTGGGATTCCTGCTGGGTGCTGATGGTGCTTTCTGTCCAAACAGGCTTTTAAATCAGCTGAGAAGAAAACAAAGCAAACCCTGAGGGAAGTTCAGACTGTCACCACCATCCAGAAGGCCAGAAAGGTCTATTGGCAAGTACAGCTCCACTGTCCTTCTCCTCTGTGTCAGGATGGATCTTCCCTGGTTGGGAGTGCAGCTGTTTGGGATTTCTGAGCTCTGCACTTTGCATGGAGTCTCCTTAAAGAGTCAGAGGGTCCCAGAATGGTTCCAGGGCCAGCAGCCCAGAGCTGCCCCATCCCTGGCAGTGCCCCAGGCCAGGCTGGGTGGGGCTGGGGCAGTGCAAGGTGTGCTCCAGGGGGGCTGGATCATCTTTAAGGTCCCTTCCAACCCAAACCCAAACCATTCTGGGCTTCTGGGCTTTAAAAAGCACCAAACCTCAAAGCTTTTCATTGTTAAAATAAAAATAAATAGGAGGGTTGTGCTTCTTGTTCCATGTCCAAATCTCTTGTTCCACGTCCTAATCTCCCTGATGCTGTGGTTGTCCCATGCCTTGTTTTTATGTCGATGGGAGTAAAAAATATTTCCAGTCTCATAAATTGCAGGTGCTGAGATGGATATTCTGAGTTTGGTATCTAAACCCCCCTGTGCAATGTCCTGTTAGTTCCAGGTGTCAGTGACACCGTGGATTTGCTGTATTGGGCAGGTTTGAGAAGTTCCTGTGGTTCATCAGCTCTGAGAATTACCTGGTGATTGCTGGCAGGGATCAGCAGCAGAACGAGCTGATCGTGAAGCGCTACCTGAAACCAGGTGAGCCCAGGGGGCCACGGGGGGCTCCCTCCTATCCCCACCTCTGGGGGTGGCCAGGAGGGACAGGGGAGGGTCCCTGGATCCAAGGGAATTGTGGTGAGAGCAGCTTGGGTGGGCTCCCCTCAGGAGCTGATTCTGCCTGGGACAGGGATGGGCTGAAAGGCTTCTGTGGGGTGCTGCTCACAGAACTGGGAAATACAACATTCACCATTTGTACATTCCTAAAACCATAAAGGAAAGGAGCTCTCAAATCTTCTATGTGCTGGTGTTCACAGGGGTCCCAGCATGAGGGAAGAGATGAGAATCTTGACTCTGTGTTTCAAAAGGCTGATTTATTATTTTAT